CTTACCCAGCTGCAGGTATCGCAATTGCGAACTATTGTTCTTAAATGCAAAGCACAGATTGCAAATGCAATCAGCGCATTAGAAGCCCAAAAGTCACAAATGCGACAAAACTTTTGCATTTGCAAAGGCCACCTCCTTCACATATGCAAGCCAAGCTTCACAAATACAAAGCTGCCCAACATCATACTGCGTCACAAATGCGATGATAGAGTCATAAAAGCGAACAGATCAACCATTGCAAAAGCGTCTCTTTCTTCGCAGGTGTGAAGTCCCAACCCCTAGCCCATGCTCGCAAATGCGAGCCAGACCTTGCAAATATGAGATCTGCAAATCATCACCAGAACTAAAGCACACCAGCTATCTCAAATCATCTAAAACTCATATGTCACATCCAAAACTCACACGAGCCTCTCTGGCTCCAAACCAAACATGCACATAACTGCAATAACAATATCTTGAGTACTAGCCTTAATTTTCATGATCTGAAATCGCCTTCAACATAAGGCCTCATATGGTGCCATCTAAATACTCGACTGGTAAATGTTATTGTAGGCAAACTCCGCTAGAGGTAAAAATCGGTCCCATAAACCTCTCAAATCCATAACACAAGCACATAACATGTTCTCCAAGATCTGAATAGAGGAACGTGTCGTGGTTAACTTTGGCATAAGGGAATTAGGACTTGTTGATCTATTTGTTAAGTGAATTATGTGTGAAGACGTTGTATGTGTAAGGTAATGAGTATATATGCATCATTAGTAGATTAAAACATGCAGGTAGAAATTATTTTATTGTACTATGTTGTTCCATTAATTATGCTTTTCATGCCTTATTTAGATTATTATTTCTTTGATTGTTCGCCTTCATATTTATTGTTTATTTTGAAGTTGTTAGGATATTGAAAGTTGAGTTTGTTTATCATAACACTATGATTGAAGTGAAAATTTCTTCCCACCTTGCATTGGTACCTTGGATTATTGTTGTTGCATGGTGAGGAAGAGTGAAAATCACGAAGGGTATTTTCGTGCCTTATTTGCATATTACTATCATTGATTGAGAGTTGGCAGCCATTATTCACGCGCTGAAGATTTGGAGGCACTATCTGTACGGTGTTCACTATTAGGTCTGATCGAGGTCTCCAGCACCTGTTCAAGTAGAAAGGCCTCAATTCGCGGCAGCGAGGATGGTTAGAGTTATTGAATGACTATGATATTACCATAATATATCATCCGGGGAAGACCAATGTAGTGGCCGATGCATTGAGTAGGAAGGCTGGGAGCATGGGTAGTTTGGCATATTTACCGGTAGTTGAAAGGCCTCTAGCCATGGATGTTTAGGCTTTGGCCAATTGGTTTGTGAGAATGAATGTTTCAGAGCCCAGCCGAGTTCTTGCATGTGTTGTAGCACAGTCATCGTTGTTGGATCATATCAAGATTCGCCAGTTTGATGATCATCACTTGTTGGTATTGAAAGAGACGGTGCAACGGGGTGGTGCTAAAGAGGTTGTGATTGGTGATGATGGTGTTATACGACTTAAGGGTCGTATTTGTGTTCAAAACGTTGATGGGTTGAGAGAGTTTATCCTTGAGGAGTCTCACAGTTTGCGTTATTCTATTAATCCAGGTGTCACGAAGATGTACCATGACTAGAAACAATACTATTGGTGGCGAAGAATGAAGAAAGACATCATTGCTTATTTATCTCGGTGTTTGAATTGTCAACGGGTAAAGTATGAACGTAAAAAACCAGGTGGATTGACTTAGAGATTAAAGATACCGGAGTAACAGTGGGAGCGCAACACTAGGGATTTTGTGGTATGCTTACCACAGACCTAGAAGAAATATGATGCAGTCTGGGTTATTGTGAAGCGGTTGACTAACATTCCATTCCGATGGTGACTTCCTACTCTTCAGAGATTCCCATTACTTTTCATGAGTTTTTAACATCCAATTGGGTTGAAATTGAAGAATTTTGTAAAATTAAGATTTAGACCTCAAAATAAGGTCGAATTTCGAAACAAATCAGATAACTAGGCTCGGGAGTGAATGGGTAATCGAATTTTGGTCTGAATCTCGGGTTTTGACCAAGCGGGCTCGGGGTTGGCTTTTGTTGACTTTTTTTCAATTTCATTAAAGATTGAATCTTTTTCACTTATGGGTGGTTTCTAAATCTTATTTTGATCTATTTGACCGGATTTGATTGGTTTGGATGCTAACTCTAAAGAAACATTCGTGGTTGAGCATTGATTTTGTTGTGGAGTGAGGCAAGTGTCACGGTTAACTTTAACTTAAGGGAATTAGGACTTGTTGATCTATTTACTACTTGAATTATGTGTGGGGACGACATATATGTAAGATGATGAGTATATATGCGTTGTCATTGGGTTAGGATGCATGTGGAAATTATTTTATTGTATTATGTTTTTCCATAGACTATACTTTCCATTTCTTAATTAGATTATTATTTCTTTAATTTTCCGCCTTCGTATTTATTGTTTATTTTGGGAGTTGTTGAGTTATTGAAAGTTGAGTTTGCCTATCATGACACTATAATTAAACTGAAATTTGCTTCCTACTTTGCATTTCTATTGTAGATTGTGTTGTTGCTTGTTGAGGAAAAGTGAAAAGTACGAAGGGTGTTGTCGTGCCTTATTTGCATATTACTATCATTGATAAAGAGATTGTGAGGATTAAAGCACGAAGGATGATGTCGTGTACTTGCTTGCTTATTATCATTTATCATATCATGTGAGGACGAGAGTAAAAGTTCGAAGGGTGATACCGTACCATTTCATTTATCATATCATTATTATTTGGCGAGGATGAGAGTAAAAGCACGAAGGGTGATTCCATGCCATTGCATTTATGATATTACATGATGAGGACGAGAGTAAAGTACGAAGGGTGATGCCGTACCATTGTTAATTTCATTGCTTTATTTGATTTCCGGATTGGTGATTTAATTGGTCGCATTGTTGTTTCTTTTGTAAAAAGGCTACTTGGTGATTTTGTTCCTGCCGTTCTTATCATACTTCCCTTTCTACATGTTCCTTCCCTGTTATTATTTAAATTCCCTACTTGTTATTTCTGTTGTTTTATATATATATATATATATATA